GGGTTTTATTTCTTTGCCCACTTCATTCATGTAGCGTCCTCCATTTTATCGTCGTAATCTTGTGAATCTAATAACATTATGGATATCTCTACTCTCCTGTTACAGTGCTTCTAATCTGATCACCTAACGTTACTCCTCTAATCGATCACAATGTTCTCATTTTTACACTCCTAGCCATACTTTTGTTGTAGATGTCTTCGACGTATACGTTAATGTACCTTCTGTTGACTTGTATTTATTTCTCCAGAAAAAGTCTTTTAAGTAGTCTCTTTCTTGCTGCTTTATTTCCTTGTGTACGAATTTCTTGATGTAGATTTCTGGTGCACGATATTTCATATTTTGTGTGATTGGTTTATTGTGTACTGCCAACTTATATCTAATGGGATCCTTCCTTATTACCATTGATTCTGTCTGGCTTACTGGTATTAACATTCTAAATTTTAAGGATGTTGTTTAAAATTCATATGGTTGTTGTTGTAGATCGTTTTCATTTTCTGCCATTTGTGTGGCATCGTCAGCGCAGTACAGTATTTTTATTGCTTTATTTTGTAAACTCTTTCCATCTCTTTATGACTACATATTTGGTCCTTTACAATATTAAAGAGAGGTGAACACAGACTGCTTCCTTAGCGGTTTCCTGGCAGTACAGGTATTTCTTTTGAAAGATCATTTTTAGTGAGATGAAAATGTGTTCGCGATCTTCAGATCTTTGAAGATATCGCTGTTCTTTCAGCGTCCTTATTGTCTAGGTTTCCTGCTGTCAATGGTTCCTACGAAGTTCAGGAGTAATATAGTTTAATCGTCTAGATTCTAATTAGTATTTGGTGTTGATAGTATTCCGAATAATTCGTAACATTGGAAGTTCGCTTTCTTGTCGGTATTAAGAATCTGTCCTAATTGGTAATCTCACGAATTTATCGCATTTCTTCATGGTTGTTAATCTCTGTGATTGTTGGTCGCAAGTAATATTGTAATGTTGATTAGGTTCCAAGTTACGATTCCATTTGTAGCTCTTCGGAGGTATAGTGGAATATATTCGTTTAGAATAGACTATGTCAATAGGATGTTTTCGGGAAGATTGGCCAAGTGCAAGTGGACCATGCTAGAAAAACCAGACATCAAGCAACTCCTTGAAAGACCATCTAACAATTCTAACATATAGTAAGAAAGTTGGATGTCAGGGTCGCACGAGGCTTCAAGACAAAAAAAAACAAGATATCGTCCTAATAAAAGAGAAAGAAGAAAAACAGGACATTTTTGAGCTTAGACAAGAAGAAAGGAGATTTTCAAGTTTGACACAGAAGCTGATTGAAAAAATAATGATGACGAATAATTAATCAATCCTATTAGAACAGAGGAAATACAAACTATAGTTAAAATCTAGGAATTAGAAAAGTGTCTGGCGTTGTAAATGGCCGAAAGTCAATCTAATTCAGACGATATATAAAACGGAAATTTGGTAATAATGAAATACTTTGGAGTGTTATTTATGACACGCACTGTATAGGTTTTATCGTTATATCAGCTTATCGGATAGCGAATTAAATTCTGTAAAGTTATAAAAATATAGGTACAGTTTTGAATGTTATTATGACTAATTCGAATTACAAATTACGACCTCCTACCTTGGAGATAACCGTAGGGAGATAAGGTATCAAAATTATATAAGAGGTAGCTTTGTTATGAAACAGGTTATTGGGTAAACAACTTGACTCTAATTGCTGTGGTATCTTTTTTTATAAAGGATATTAGTATAAAAGTTTAGGCTGAGTAGTTAACCACTGCTGTAATGATCTGCAACGCGATAAAATGCACTAAACATAACAATTGTCCTCTTCAAAAATTCAAATTACCGTATTTTCTCGAATCTAATCCGCACCTTTTTTACAAATTTCATATGCTCAAAAATCAAATGCGGATTACAATCGGGTGCGGATTAGATTCGCAGTCGTATAGTTGAAATTTAGAAAAAACCAAAAAATAAATTACATAAATAAATCATCACATTATAATAATAAAGCTTTATTAAGGGCTTTAGAACAATATTTACATTTTTATACTATATCATCTTCATCGGTAGTATCCTCAATCTTACTCTCCGGTGAGTCGGAGTCAACTCTCTCAGTGTTATCTTCCCATATTATGTCATCTTCGGAACCATCCAAAGCATTGGTTATGCAACACTTCTTAAATGATTTAATAATAATGTTCTCCGGGATCGCTTTCCATGCCACCGACACCCACCGAGCAAGTTCAGAAGCAGAAGCCCGTTTAATTTTTCCCGTTTCTGTTAACTCTCGAGCGGGATCTGCAATCCATTTTAGATATTGTTTTCTTAAATTATCTTTAAATGGTTTATTAATAGATACATCCATAGGTTGTAGTACGGATGTCATTCCACCAGGTATTACGACAAGTTCCGTGTGTAATTCTTTAAGGCGATTTTTTACAGATTCAGTGAGATGTCCTCTAAATGAATCAAGAACAATCATTGAAGGTTTATTTAATAATCCTCCAGGCCTACGACCCCATACTTGTGTTAACCATTCCAACATCAGCTCTTCCGTCATCCATCCTTTTTGTTGCGCTCTGACCATGACATCTTTCGGGAAGTACTCTGATTTTGGAATGGTTTTTCTTTTCAATATTAACAATGGCGGCAATTTTCCCCCATCACCAGTTGCTGCTAGCATCACTGTTACGCGTAATTTTTCACAACCACTAGTTTTTAAATAAACTTCCCTCACACCTTTTTTTTCTAGTGTGTAATTGGGGGGCATATCGAGATATATTGCCGTTTCATCGGCATTCGCAATTTGACACAAATTGAAGTTTTCTTTTTTTCTCAAATTTATAATATATCGTTGATAATTTAATAACTTTTCTTGAAAATCATTAGGAAGCTTTTGACAAATTGTAGTTCTGCGCCTTAACCATAGCCCCATTCGGCGCATGAACCGCACAGTCCAACCTTTGCTAGCTTTAAAGATATCTCGTTGAATATTCAACGAACTTGCTACTTTCATTGCTTCCTCACGAAGTAAATCGTAACTCACATACAGTCCCTCCTTTCGTCTTTCTTGAAAGAACCGGAAAACTACCTGGTCAATTTCAGGAAATCGTCCTTTCTTTGGTCCTGTAAATTTTTTGCGCGATGCCTTACAGCCTGTAATAGCTGCCTTGTGTTTGCGCCACAGCCGAACGTTACTTTCATCAACGCCAAATATTATACCAGCTTTTCGATTTCCTTCTTTTTCCGCCAACTGAATAACGTCTCGTTTGAACTTCGCCGTATAGGAGAATCTCTTCGATTTCTGCTGTCTTTCTTCCATAATTACGCTGTTATAGGTATATATAATTAAGCACACAACGCGTTCGAACTACTATGAGGGTATGAACTGAATTCGTGTTAGGGATTACCATGAGTTTTTAAAATAAAATTTATTTTACAATTTTTTTTCTGGCTTGGTAAATATACCGTCAAACATTCTATTTGAAAAAAAAATCGTAAGCTAGGTATCGTTAAGTGCATCGGTGCCAGTCGGCAAAAAAATATATTTGTGGATATAACGTGCGTCTCGTCGCTTTGCCGCCGTCGGATTGTACAAAGAAAGATGCGGATTACATTCGCAAGCTAACTTTTTCTACCATAATGCATTCTTAAAATCAGGGTGCGGATTAGATTCGAGTGCGGATAAGATTCGAGAAAATACGGTACCTTATTGATGAGTAAAATACAAATTAATAAATATATTTTCGGATGTTCTCATTTGATAGGGGCCATATAAAAAATGGATACTAGTATTATTTTGATTAGTAGATACTATGTCTCGGTAAATATTTATGTATACGTTTTATTATTCTATTTAAATCTTATATTTAATAAAACGTGTACTATATTGTTTCCAGATAAATCAATTAATAATATAATACACTAGTAAGCACCACTTGTAACATTTCCTTTCCATAGAAATTGATATCTATAAACATGTTTATATCGTTTAATTTCGCAGTAAATTTTTTAAGTTTGCTGTTGATTTAACCTATTTATTTTAACCTATTTGATTTTAGAACTAGATCTCTCATATAAAATAAAATATGGAAGTACACAAACAGAAATTAAGTTTTAGGTTCATTTAACGTAATAAAAGATAATCAAAAAAGTGCTTTCTTTTAAGTTTTAAATGGAATAAGAAAATTTATAAATATTATTTATGGCATGGATTTGTTCTTGCATTAGGTCATATGATTTATCTAATACCAAAATGTGATACTATATAACTTTAGTGTAGTTCTCATTAAATATATGATTTGAATCAAAAATATATATAATATAGAAATAACAGTTATATTAAATTTCATATACAATAAGTTTTTGGAGACTAATAAATTCATTGGTTATACCGGAGTTCGATCTTTCTCAAATATTTAAATAATAAATTTACTTAAAAAATAAAGATTAATTAAAAGTTATTTACGAATTTCAGGATTATTTTGTGTAGGTATATAAAAATTAATTTTTTAAAGTTTAATTGATAATGTATCGTAAAAACAAACCGACCATGATTAATGTTCGTAGAAAATAAATAGGTAGGTGTGGCAAGGAATCAGATAAACATCCATTTATTATATTTTTATTCCCTGGAAATAAATACGTGACAGGTAGAAGTATATTCAACTGATAAATACGTGAATCATGTGATATGTTCACAGACCATAGTACTATCACCAGATTTATTATATTTATTTTTTTTTATTTTCGTTTCCTCTTAACTTATCGAGTGGATATTTTTCACGTTGATATCTTATAAAAATATCCTCACGATGACATGACTTCTTCTAATCCTGTTTCATAATCCAACATCTGTTTCTATTTGGTCTAATTCTAAATCCTGTTTTATTTAACTTGCAATTGTATAAAGGCTTTTAGATTTTTTTTGCATATTACTGTAGTTCTTTTAATTCTGTTCTATTGGTAATTTGGTGGTGGATTCTTTCAGTTATTAGCGACACTTACGAACATTTCGACGCACTAACTGCCTGCTTTCCATGGTGTACAACTACAACAGCTCGATGCATCCCCAGGGGTAGCCGATGTAAGCCATTTTTATTGTGTTATATCGAGGGTTATATCTTTTTTTTTGTTACATCTTAACTTGTTTGAATGTTCTTGTTATGTTTATCTAACTAATAGACAACACTGCTGTAACGAAAAGTGGTAAAAATAGTCCTAAACAAGTTGTAGGTATCTAGCGGGATTTGCCAATTTCAAAATTCTCCTAAACCTAGAAATAAAATGTTCAAAACTGCGTTTCAGAATGAATAGAAATTTTGAGGTCAAACAATTTATACTTTTTGCTAACTTGACACAATCAATTTTTACGTGGAATACTTAAAAAAGTATCGACCTCGATATAATTTTCAAATTTCAATCTCCCATTTTTATTACAAAATATCAAAGAGGAGTTTCAGACCTGCGTGCTATTAATAAATATTAATAATGATTATAAGATTTTTTTGACCTATTGTTTTAAATTATTTGCTAAGTACCAAAACTGATTTAGATATGTTTGTTGAATCTTTGAGTGCTTAGGTTGTCAATTAGTTAAAGTAGTAAATTTATTTGAATTAGAAAAAAATAGAAATTCTGTGTGTTTAGAGATGTTTCACGGCTCTAAAACAAAGTACTTGACCTCTTCATTATAACATACTTTAATTAATAACCCATTATTAAAAGTACAATTAGTCGAGTTGTGCTTAATTTATTCACATGTATGAAATCATGCGTGAAATGGTCGAATCTGGTTATTGCTAAATGAACGGCTTACAAAATATAGGGTCATCCACGACGACCGTTCATTAGAACTATGTAGAGAACCAAATGAAGTGGGGGATTGAACATTTGTGGACTTATGATGTTTGATGCGAGCTTATTAACTAAAATATTTTCAGGTTCCGGGTACTTGTGGTTACACTGGAAGTGGTGACACTTTTCATATTTCAAATGGAACACCCTGTATTTTATTACATTTTTGAAATCTTTGTTCAATTTTAGGTCACTTGTATGTTACATACCCTATGCGTAAGTTGAGTCATTTTTGAGATATTATTTTTTTTTAATCAGAATTGTCGGGAATTTAAAACATTTTCTCTGGATCAGGAACATTAAAACTGGAATACAGGGTGTATTGCATTTCGAAGAACTTTACTGATCTTCCGATAATACATAACCACCACAACATTCCCAACACAAAACTTTTCTTTCTGGCGGTCGTAGATGATTTATAAACGATTGAAAGTAACGTTGCAGCTGTCATCTTTAAAAAAAAAATTAATAACTCAAAAGTGACTCAACTTAGGTGTAGGGTATGTAACATACAATTGGCTTAAAATTGAACAAAGATCGCAAAAATGTAATAAAATACAGGGTGTTCCATTTGAAATATGAAAATTGTCACCACTTCCGGTGTAATCACAAATACACGGATCCTGAAAATATTTTAGTTAAAAAGCTCGTATGAAACTATAAGTAAACTATACGCCTGCAAATTTTTAAACCCCCACTTCATTTAGTTCTCTATATAGTTCTAATGGACGGTCGTCGTGGATGACCTGTATAAAAAAACGCAAAAGTTCCAACCTTCCAGATCACCTGACCTCACACCTTTAGATTCTTTTTTATGGGGCAAAATCAAAAATGAGGTGTACAATACACCTGTAAGGTCTCGTGAGGAATTAGAAAATAAATCGAGTTAGAAATTGTATTACCCAAATATCTCCACACGAATAAAGTCGAATTGTTAGATTAACAATACGCAAGATATAATTATGTCAAAATCGAGGCGGGGGATCATTTTGAAAATTAGTTTTTTTGAACTTATAATTGAATTAAATTTAATTGTTCATTCGCATTTTTCTTTGAAAACTAATTTAATACAACTATTAACTTACACCATTATTAAAAAATAACCACTGACTAAGGCATAGCAATGGTCACCGCTCGAGAAATAGTAAATCAAGAGGAACATAGCGTAATTTATACTATTAACCTGGCTACTATACGTCAAAAGCTGTAATACATTTTCCGAAGGTACTAAAACGTTAAAAAATAAAAATATTTTTTTTTTCAAAAATTATAAGCGATCGTGAAAATTTTTTCAAGTAAAAGCTATGTGAAATTATGCTGTCTACACAACTGAAGAAAAAAAAAATTATAGATTTAAAAAAATAGCAAAATTAGTACTCACATCCGGTATAACCGGAAGTACAAAGAGAATGATTTCATGTCGTAATAATCCGTTTTAACGGCCTAATTATGCATTCCAAATGGTTTTCTTATATCACTAATAATAAAAGAAAATATGGGGGTGAGCCACTTCTGAGGGACACCCGGTATATTGTTTCTCATATTGTTGTAACTACTGCTTCTACCCAGCTTAACAGATTTTCACGGATACTCAAACCTAGATATTTTGAAAGAAGGTTTCATTTTCTACCAACGTTTAAGATACGTATAAGCCGCTTTTATGCACTTTAAGAAAAATTAACGCCTACCTGTTAGGACATCTTTGTTCGATGTTAGCGCCGGAGCAGAATTGCACCCTATTGTTCGGGTCGATCAACTAAAAGTTGTTTTTTATCTTCATGATTTCATGTCTGAAATAGTACATATAGGTGTCCCACGACGTGATTGCCATAGCTTGGGAGTGTGTTGGGGTGATTTCAAGTCAAAAATGTCTAATGAACATACACCCAAAACGCAATCGTAACCGAGCTACAAGCATTTGAAATTTTAAATAAGTAGTAGTAGACCATTTAAAAAGAAACAGCTTTATTGAATTAGTTGCTCAAAATGTCCACCCAGTTGCTGTATACATAGTCTAGCTCTTCTTAGAATTGAAGTGGTAGCCTGCATATATTTTTGACTTTCCTTTTATACGATACAACTTGTATCTTCATTCTTGTTCTCTATAAACTAATTCTTAGTGTGTCTATATACAACAATAAAACGATGAGTGTAGTTCAGTTTGGTGAAACTGGCCGTCTTGTGTTCATGGATTAGGTTACAGACAGGTGGTGAGACTTCATAATTACCTATACCTGTTTTAAAAGTGCATCAAAACAGATCGTGTGCGGCCCAACCATAGCATGTGTACTGAACTATAAAAGAAGACATCTTTTCTAACTATCTATAAGAACCGAAAAGCTACCATTCAGGACTAAATTACTTTCTATTGTCAACGAAGTATCCGGTGCTATTATGACTTTAATATCTTTACAGATATTGTTCCGCTGGACAAATTTGTGATTTGATCTTTCAAAGTGCCACTTTACCTTCGTAAATTGCGGGTTGATATATAATCTCCACTTTTTGAATGTTTCAAACAGAAACGAGAGATCAATTATTGAAGGCTTTGTGGGAACATCTTGAAAGTCGTCATCGTAATAAATTTTGTACGATATTACAGTGCAGGACAGTTGCTGATAAATAGAGTAAATTTGAAGCTGTAATATCTGTAGTTATTAAATGACATTTTTCGTCGATTGTCTTTTTCTTATCTTGCTATTTTGTGTCTGACAGCATCTTTTTATTTGTTCTTGGTAAGGTTTTTCGCTTAAATTCTTATTTTTAAATTAGAAGCAGGTTTTTCTTTACCAGTGTGGAAAATTGCGATACTCATGTCATTATTATTCCTTCAAGAGTAGGGAGTACTCTTTTAATCGTTTAATTTTGGAAATGACTGAATTTTGCTGCTTATTACTTTAAAACAAGAATTTTTTTTAAATATTTTGTATCATATTTGTGTCATTTCTTTTTGGTCTTCTGGATGCAATCCTATTTTCCTGACATTCCTGTTATTGATTGCAATTTCCTTGCAAACTAGTAGTTTCTCGTTTCCAATTGTTAGTCAATATTTAAAGGGTCCAGATAAGATTCTGAATGGAGAAGGAAGGTAGATGCTGATGTGGGTAGAGGAGAGGGGATGGCAGATACTGAATGGGAATATGGAGGAAGGAGATGAAGGGGAATATACCTATACGAGTGTAAGGGGGCGTCCGTGATGGATTATGTGGTAGTGGACCAAGGAATGTGGGAGAGTATAGAAACATTTTGGGTTGGGGCGTTGGTAGAGTCGAATCAATAGCGTCTAGAAGTGTGCATAAACGGATCGAGGGAAAGAAGGAACAGAAAGATAATGGGACATAGGCGAAAATACATTACGGTAGATTGGTCGAAAGAGGGGATAGAACATTATGAAGGGGAAAGTTGGCAAGCTGGGGTCAGAGGGTGGAGAGGGCTGACGGGTTGAATGAACTAATTGAGGTGGTTAGGGAGGCGACGTTGAAGAAAGAGAGTGGGCGACGGGGGATTAGACTGGGAAGGAACCAATGGTGGGATAGAGAATGCAGAGAGGCCAAGAGAGAAGCTAGAAGGAAATTGAGACAGTGGCAGAGAGCGGAGGTAGAGATAGAAAGATATATAGAGGCCAGGAGAAAATACAAAGAAGAATGCAAGAAAAAGAAGAGGGAGCTGAAGGAAAGGGGAGGATGATGAAGGGAAGAGAGGAAGTCTGTAGAGATATACAAATGACTGAATGGAGAACCTACTTCATGGGATTGTTGGGAGGGGCGGAAGAGAGAAGACTGGGAGAGGGAGAGCGAGGGGTGCAAGGAAGAGAAGAGATAACACTGGAAGAAATGGAGGCAGTGTTGGAGAGGATGAGATCAAGAATGAGGCATAGTTGAAGGCGACGGAGACAGTGAAGAAGAAGCTATGGAAGGTAATAAACGACGTATGGATAGGGGAGAGGTTTCCGGACAAGTGGAGCATGGGGATAATATGCCCATTGTATAAAAAGGGGAGTAAAAGGGTGGTGAGCAATTATAGAGGGATCACCCTGTTGGACACAACTTCCAAAATTTATACAAAGATACTGCTGGGGAGGTTGGAAGAGGAAATGGAGATGGGGAATTGTTGCCGGATACCCATCCGGCAACAATCCCACCTACCCAGGTGGGATTCAGGAAGGGAAGAGGGGCAATTGACAATATATACATTCTGAAACATCTGATAGATAGGGAGTTGAACAAGAAGGGGGGAAAACTGTATGGATTGTTTATTGACCTGAAGGCTGCATTCGATAACGTGGATAGAGAGAAGGTGTGGGAGGAAATGAGGAGGAGAGGTATCACAGAAGGCTGATCTATGGACAAAGAGACAGGGAAGAATATTATAGAAGAGTGGGATACTCACTAACTGGGATCGAAAACAGAAGAGCGGAAAAAGGTGAAATGTGGAGAGAACTGAGAGATGGGGACAGGGACATACAGAGGCAGGAAAGAAGGTCACAGATACAAGAAGGGAGATACAATGAAAGGTATGGGGAGATAGTGACAGAGGAACTGCCAAAGTAGTTGTTGATGGAGGGGGATGATGAAGGGAAGAGATTGGTGGCCAGATGCCACTGTGGCAATGAGGAGAGGGGGAGTAGGTACTGGGCGGACGATCTGCAGAGGTGGTGTAGGCTTTGTGGAAAGGATTGGGAGACGCTGGAATACATGCTGAGAGGGTGTAGTAAGCTAAGGGAGGAGGCAATGGATAGGAAGCAGATTTTGGAAGAGGGGCGAGGGCAAAAGATGGATGAGGGAGGTAATGAGAAGGCGAAGGTGTGGAAAGAGGGGAGGAGGGTAGAGAATCTGGAGGTATATATATAGATTGTATTGTATTATATTAGGAAAGGAAAAATTGTAAGTATAAAAAAACAATAAAATGCTTATTATTACTTAAAGGGAATTATCCATCATTTTTGATGATACTATTGCTGGCGTATTATTTCACCATAGTTTCACCAAGAAAACTATGTTGGTCCAAATTCATAGAAATCCACTTTTTTAAATTGGTCTACTCAAGGAAGTAATACATTCTTGCACTTTAGTTTTCTTGATAATTTTTTGAACACAACTCCACCGCAATTTTAATACCCTTTTGCAACTTTTAGTATCATGAAAAGTATTAGGTTAAGTATTAGGCCTTTTAACTTTCACCACTGCAGGTTTTGCTTACCTTTAATTTCTTTGTCCGATTTAACATTTTCATTAGAAGCAGGGAAATAGTCTCTGTTAATATCTTCTTGCACTTCGTCAAATACATTATGCTTAATTTTTCTTCCGTTTTACTGTTCCTCAGCAACTTTTCATTTTCTATTACCAGGTTCTGTTAATGTGTTGGATTGATACAAGCTATGTGTATCGTTCGCAAAAATTACTTCTATTTCGTTAAAAATGTGAGGAACTTTCTCGACAGTCGAAACATCGTCGTTAAAGCAATACCATGCGTAACCGAAACATTGCGATATGATATGTAAAAACATATCCTTCTTTATTACAGGATGATCAGGGAGATATGGTTGATACGAGCAAATACCCTTGAAACAAACTTCAATCGTTTCACAAGCATTCCAACATAAAGATTATTTTTCGTTTATGAAAAACCTTCAGATACAAATCTAGTACGTTTTAATCGCTTGTGATATTTCATAATAACTAAATTAAGATTAAAACATTAAGATAATTCAAGGAATCTGAAGACCGTTTCAGACAATTTCGTTTTTGTAACTTGACAATTCAGTTAGAACTTTGTCACGGCTGTATTTTAATGAATAGTTTGAATAGCAAATAGTTTTAATTACTTACTTGACAATAATTGAATGATAATCAACGTGTGATAAAAAAACTATAAAAGTTAATCTGAGTTGTAATCTGATTATAAAATTTGTTTTGTAACAAAATTGACTTTTAAATATCATTCATTAATCATCACTAACCGTTATCATCATTATTACTTTTTTTCATCATATTTTTAATTCTATCTTTAAGAAAATAAATGAAAGAAAATATATCTTAAAATATTTTTAATTTATTTTTTCAGCTATTAGTTTGGAACCCCACGTAAAATCTCTTCATTTAACTTTAGCGTATCAATTTCCAAGTAATCATTATGCCTCCTTGAAAGGATTTGTTGATTCTTTGGACCCAAATAGCTCCTCAACGTGGGAATTAAGACTGTATTCAAGAGATCCGAGGGTAACCGGTAAACAAGTCCACAAGGTAAACACTCTAAACACGTTTATGAAATTGTTTTTGCGTTTTAATTGATACGACAAATTGTAAATTCTGTGTATTTGTTACGAATTGTGCAATAAATAATTACGATTTTTTGTCTCAACTGATAAAAGTTAAGTAAAAAAATTCCACTCGATCTACGTCACGTTAAATTATGTCATATTATTATTATATCGTGGATGAGATGGCTTGTGTAGATTTTATTATATTGAATTTTTTTGAGTGAGTGCATACGAAGGTTGTTATAATCTCCAATTAAGAATTTTATTATCATTTCCGTATTTTATTTTTAATTTTTTTCAAAAGAAAACACATCCATCATTTAGATTGACAGGTTCATTTAAAAAAAGTTGATTTTTATCAGTGCTGCATTCTTTATAATAAAAAATGTTTATACATAAAAAAATTATAGGTGATTCATCCTTACAATCCGACCGAATGTGACGAATTGGAACTCCACACAGGAGATTACGTTTACATAAGTAATGAAGCTTTGGCGAATTCGCCGGACGGCTGGGTTGAAGGAATTTCTTGGTTAACTGGGCTAACCGGATTATTGCCGGAAAGTTACACAGAAAGGACTGCCGAATCCGACGCTTGGACACTCCACAGAAAAGTTTCTTTAAATTCGTTAAATCCGGGAGGAAGTGGAGACGCACCAAGTAAACATTCAAGTCTACAAAAAACTCCTCTTCAGCAAGTTAATATTCCCAGAAAACTATCTGATACTATATCGCCAGAAGAAATCGATGAAGTTTTAAGAAAATTAGAGATAAGCGGTGATAAGGAAGACGTTGTTGATGGCATGGATACAAAAGAGGACATTGGAGATAAAGGAAAAGATAATACTTACGAAAATATCAATAAATTAGCTGAAACTGGTGGAAATACGGTGAGTTTTTATTTTTATAGAGTTCATTTTAACCTTTTTACTGCTCGATATGTTATCTTGAAAACAACCTAAGTACAATCTAAGTAGATTAAAAACTGTTAAAGTCAGTCCTAACACGATTTATCTTATAATACACACACTTTATATCGGTTTATCTTTAGAAATAATAGTTTTTCAACAAAAATCAACTTTTATTCATCAAAAAATTCATGAATCATTCGATATTGAATAAATTTATGTGAAAATCGACAGAGTGCTTAACAAGCCACAGTATGGTGTGTATTTTTGAAGTTCTAATATTTATTGCATGTCATAACTCAAAACGTGAAGATTTGATGTTGGAAGGATTTGTTGAAAATTTGTTTTTATCTGCCACTTCCGTTGTTCAGAAAACTGCTAGACTTCTACACCAAAAAAATTATTTGCTTTTTATAATTAACTTATCTAAAAGTTTTCATTTCAAATTGTAACGAAAATTGAGAAGATCTTTGATTAATGTTATCAAATTTTTATTACAAATTTACAATTATTACAAATTTTTATTAATTTACTTTCCCGAAAACAGGAAAAAATTGTTTCATTTTATGGAAAATTTCATGCTTTCACTTGTCTTTTGTAGAAAAACTAGAGGTTTTATGACAGATCAATTTAAAGGACGGTTATGGTAGAAGCTTTAATCTTTAAACTAAGTTTGCATGTTACAACAATCGTTTGTGATGGAAGCTTTAACATTCAGATAGCACGCAACCGAAAGCGTACAATTTAAGTCCTCTTTCTTTTATGATTCTAATTTTGAGACTGCTTTAGTAACTATCGAGGCGTTATTATTTTACGATTGCTTGCAACCCAATGTTTTGATTTCATTGATCTTGACCAAATAAAGTAAGAAGATATGTAAAATTACTTATAACCTCATTGAAAATTATTTAATTCTTGTGAAATATATTATTTGGGTAACTGGCAATTCCAAACTGGTGGACAATTTTACTAAAATAGCTATTTCAATAGGATGGACAAAGATTTCAATTTATCATTTTTGTACAGGGTATTAATGGACGACGTGCAGATATTTCAGGGGGCGGTAGTACCCTCATGTATTTGTCTGGAAGATTTTGGTAGAAAATTTACTTTATCGTTACCATATCCAAAGGGTCCAAGCTTGTGACTTTCAATATCGCTTAAATTTTTGTGAATGGTTTCCACACATCTTAACCGAAAATCCATTATTTGGACATAGGACTTTATTTAGTGATGAGGCAAGTTTTACAAGAAATGCCATTAGGAATTTTGATAATAACCATTTCTGGGCCGATGAGAATCCCCACAAAGTAAATAAAACTAATCATCAAGTTCAGTTTTCATTAAATGTGTGGGCCCGCAATATTGTGGATTGCTTGATAGGACCATTTTTCTTACCAGCAAGGCTAAATAGACAATATTGTCGTCATTTTCTTCAAAATTAACTTCCACTGCTATTAGAAGACGTGCCGTTAGTTGTAAGAAATCAAGTGTGGTTCATGCACGATGGTGTTTTTAAATCAAAATTTCAATAATCGTTGGATAAGTCCAGGAGGACCTCAGCCATAGTCTGTTAGGTCCCCAGATTTTTTGGAACAATAATTTAATTAAAAGTTCACCAGAATATACTTATTCTTTATATATAAATTATATAAATCTGCAACTGAATATTAACGTTGACTGTATTTTTGGATCTCTTTTTATTTGGTGAACCATAACAGACTTCTCGATACGCTTAGTGATATAGCAATAAACTATATACAATAACAATAAATTAATGTAACTAAAACAACGTCACGTGGCTAGGGTCTTTACCAGGGTTTGCTATCATTTTTATCGCAGTGACTTTTCCCTGAATTGAAAAATACTAAAGACGAAGCGCAGCTTTAATATTTTCAAGTAAACATTTTAATATATTTCCTGTAACATGATCGAATCTAGGAGCCTTTTTTAGTTTTCAGACTTAAGATCCTAAATGCCTCAGTGTTTATAGTCATAAAGCAGGGTGGACAGATGATAATTTAAAAGAATGATCTGTGTTACGCTTTTAGGTACCTTTTATAACACAGAAATCGGTGATGTGAGGAATTTTTAAAGTATCAGCCAATATGTAGGATATCGTGAAGCAACTTTCTGCCTCTCGTTGTAATTATCCTAAATCTTCATTCATGATATTTTGTATTGTCTCCTTCCGTAATGACCTGTAGCCAGGTTGTCAAAAAGTAAAGTAATTTCCCCTGCAGAGATATATTTGTTGGGAGACAAAAATGTTGCTGACCACGCCATTCATTCACAGATGATATCACTCACAGATGTGACCTGAATATTTGAATGAAAAATTTTATCATTTTCGTGATGTTTTTTATAATTATTGCAGTACCGCCCTGAGTTTGGCGTAGGGTGTTGTACAAAGAGTATGTTGGCATTTTAAAGACGCTTTTGTTTGTCATATGGACTTCAAAGGTAAGCATAAGATTAATATTAGTAGCAATTAAGATTAATAGATGTAGTATTTTGTCAATTTTTCTATCATTTTATGAACTATTTGTTCTAAACTACGTGATGCAAACGATGGTTACTTTATTTGAAAAGCGTTAGATATTTTAGGCTATTGGTTAAGATTTAGATCAGGGCTTTTATCGTGTGTTTCTGGGAAGCTCTCTTATTTAACAACTCATAAAGTCGTTTTACAAGCGTTACATTTTGGGTAAATATTGAAGGGTTTTATTGGATTCTGTTTATAACTTGTCCTCACTTGAATCCTGATAAAGCTGAGAATCTACTTGACAAAGTTACAGGTTGCGTCAATGGCAAATAATCAAAATATTCTCAGTGTATGGATGTAGTTGAAACTTATCAAATAATATAATGGTTTTGAGCAATGTCCAACATCTACTTAAGATCTAGTTAAGCATCTACTTAACATCTAGTTTGCTAATCATCCTTAAAATGCACCCACAAACAATACCTCTTGAAATAAAACCACACAATTTGACGAAATTGTGTTGAGTGCTTGATATTGCAAATTATAGAAGGAATTCGAGTGACGTAATTTCGACGAATTATAGACTTATTTAGATATATTGAATTTTGTTCTTTTTTTATTACAAATCAATAAAATAATTGATATTACAGGAAATGTATACTTAACTATATCTGTTTGATTCATTCACGAAAATGATAAAATTAGTCACACTTGTCGGAAGTTATCTGATTTAACGAGAAAACTTATTTACAAGAAATTAGAGTTGCGCATATAGATGTTTACATACGGGGCTATTATTAGATCTATACAAGGATTTGTAACATATGTAAAGGAAAATTATTCAGTTATATTAGTGACTCAAACTAGTTATACAACAATTGCCGTCAGTGATAAAATCAAGACGTTAAAATTCATTTATTTAATCAATTATAGTAAGTTTTGGAGCCAAAATTGAAATCGTAAATGTCTTTCTCACCTTATGGGAAATTTGTTAGCAAATTTATAATTTATTAAAAGTGTAGAACATTGAAAAAAAAGGTAGGAAATCGAGAAATAAAAAAGTGATAAGAAATGAACAGTGAGGTCATTTGAAATGGTGTCAATTTATAGTTGTATAAGATGTCCTAAACTCATTAAGAAACTTAAGTCCTTCTATTTAAAAAATAACTACTATCTAATGCTGCAATGAAAAAATACAGTGTTGAATATACCCAGTTGGAGTTAATCAAGAAGGACTTCGAACACGTTATTTCAAATAAAAGAACTTTTTATTATTAAAAGTTTAAGTTTTAAAAATTCGTATAAAATCCACTTCTTGGAATATGAGTATGAAAATTTCCTAAAGTGTTAATAAGAGAAGAACCAATGAACCAACACGTTTTGGACGTAGGCAGCATCACTGTGCCGTTTTTTATCATAAAGTTTTAGCCTCAAAAACACCTGAGTATATGTTGGACAGAGTATCGAACTGATGTACATCATCTGAACTTAAGATTCAAAGGTCTTCTTACCCCTCCGGCGCATAAAACGGAAATTTTTAAGAGATGTTTCAGTTATCAGATAACCAGCGTGTACAATGGTATCCCTGACGATATCAAGTTGCTTCCACTGTCCCGGTTTCGGAGGTCGATGTTCTTATCTCTACGCTCGCAGCAGAACCAATAGTGATTTAACTCATTCTCTCCAGCATGTTTCAATTCAGTATTTATAAAAAAAAAATTCATATTCTATTGGACTCCATTCTTATATTTCTATATGGTATTGGTCTGCACGGGCGACATTGGATGCTTTCAGTTGGATCGTGATGATGGAGTGTTCAGTTTTTATTTTTTTTTAATATTATGCAATAGAGTAGTTTTTTGCTTTACCGCTTCCTTGCGTTGGTTTTTCATGTGGTATTATTGTTAATTTAGGTTAAGTTTGAGCAGAACCTGTGCGTTCTGAACTTCGCCTTCTTACCCAGATGTTTTTAATTTCTCCAATGTTGGATTAATATTTTTGTATACATTACTGTCTCCGTAATTTTTTATTTAGAAATGTAAATTGTTGGGTGAAATAAAGTCATTATTATTATTATTTTGAAAAATAACTTTTAGTTTTTGAGAAAACAATATTTGAAATTTTGATAAAATTTTCGATGTTGCAATAATTTTCATCGATTACTTTCAAAATTGGCTATAAAATTAATTTCTTGAAGAATCCTTCTGGTAATATCACCAATTATTAATTAAAGTATCCTCTTTTTAATGCAAAAAGCCGTTTTGAAAAATCACTTTTAGTTCTTAAAAAATAAATTTTTGAAATAATCGACAATTTTTTCGAATTTTGCAAGTTTCGCCGATTAAGTTTGAAAAATTCGTATAAAATCTACTTCTTGGAATATGAGTATGAAAATTTCATAAAGTGTTAATAAGAGTGTCCTCTTTCCAATGAATCAGCACGTTTTGAAAAATAACTTTTAGTTTTTGAGAAAACAATATTTGAAGTTTTGATAAAATTTTCGGTGTTGCAATTTTCTTCGATAATTTTCAAAATTCGCTATAAAATTAATTTCTTGAAAGATCCTTGTGGAAATATCGCCAATTATTAATTAAAGTATCTTCTTTTTAGAGTTGGTTCGTTAGTTAAATTAGCATCAAAAAAGTTCATTTTATATCTTGGATCTAAATAAATTCAGACATATCTTATCAACTTTCTTATTAATTTCATTTTTATTCAAATATAGCAATAATGTGGCAATATAGGTTATCACTTTAGAAATGTACCAGAAATTATAACCATAATGGCCGGATAGATATGCCGGATATCCGGCCGAAGGGATGCCGAATCTCCGGAATCCGGCTTCTCGCAAAATCACTATCCGTTCCATCACTAATAGCCACTAATCTTTTGTTCTTCCAATGTGTAACTAACACTGGACCTTTTCTTTTTCATACAGTCTCTCCTTTCTTAATTTTCGCAAAGTTTCTATTAGTTGCGTCTTCCTTTTGAACAAATATTTTGCTAGCCGAACACTAGTGTAATAATTGTCAAGATATATTTCATGCCCTTTATCAAAATAGTCTTTTAGTAGCTTCGTTACGACTGAACACTTGTGGGAATGCTCTTGATCATTGTCTATTATAGTGCCTTTTCCAGTATAGACAAGTATATTCAAAACAAAACCATCAAATGTGGTAAGCTCATACAGCACTATTCCGTACTTATGCCTCTTGTTCATAATATACTGCCTAAATTTTAGGCGTCCTCGCCAGTGAATCATAGATTCGTTTATAGAAAGTTGTTTCATTGGAGAAAGCAACTGCTGAATGTTTTGAATAATCTTTTCTAAAATAGGTCTTGTTTTATATAAACTGTGGTTCATATCCACATCGCGATGATTTATAAATCGCAAAAATCTTAGGATATCGCAAAACCTATTCCTGGACATACATTTTCGGAAAACCGGGTGTACTCCAGTGCTTTGACAACCGAGAAAAGTGTATAGGTCCAGATAAAAGACAAAGTCTAATGAATTTAGTTATTTCAGGTGGCGTCACATCTTTCCTTTTCCTAGAATTGTTTCTCGTATTTTCTGCAACCGGCACTGATTTTGTTGCACGATTATTTGTTTCTGTTGCAACTTTATTTATTATATCATCGTCAAAGAATAATCTGAAGTCGTCAATAGGTTTGGCATTATTTCCCAAATTATATATAAACGATGGTACTTCCGTGAACGGAATATCTAAGGAATCAGTTTTCGTGTCAGTCCAAATTAGTGAACACCACTGATCTATAAGGTCATCGTCACTGGAAAAATCGTTTTCGCTCGAAATATCTGATAAATGGTCAACAATGTTAGAGTACATAATAGCTCAGCTTTAATAAGCTTTGATTCCTTGCCCTTGTATTTCGCGTATTAGAGTTAACCATAACACAATTATTTGTACAATTTTTGTACACGCACTTACTTAGGAACTGCTAAATTCTCAGTTGCACTTATTAGTAAAAAACAAGAACTGGGTGTAGTAATAAATGCACATGCAAAGGGTATTCCCCGTATTCGTATTTCAAACATGAGACAATACTTTCCCCATCATCAATCAGCCATAGAAACAGCCTAGACTTTGAAGTACAGGCTACGATATTACAACTTATTATAAGCACCATTTAAATGCATTAGCAAACGCGTCCAGTAAACTGGGCGCGGTTCACCACGAAAAACCTCTTCGTTCAGTAGATTAGACGCCGGTGCCGAACGTGTTAATCTTTTCAAGAAAAAGATTTTATTAAAATGTTAATCGACAATACCAAGGAGATAATGTCCAAAATTCATTTAGATACCGGTTAGAAATGAGCATTTACCAAGAAGGACATCAATTTGAAAATATTAAATTAAAAAACTATGTTCATTTTAAAATTAAGTTCAATGTTAAGCCTCACCAGGTTAAGATTCAAGAGGTTAAGGTTGGTTTATTACCTAACTGGCACTAAACGAGCGGCTCGTGTTTAACAGTTATTTCATTTTTCTTAATTTTTAAAGGATAATTAATTTTGAATGAATAATTTTTCAAAGGATTGAGATCGGGGGATCTTAGTGGCCATTCAATTGATCCACGCCTTCCAATGTGTTAGGAAATGCTACTTTATCGAGATATTGCCTAACCTGCAGTTCTGATGGCCACGATATGATGGTTCAGATACCATCATATGATGTGATGGTGCACTATCTTGTATGAATTTCTTAACACATTGGCTGCCACGTCATTCATATATGAATATCATTCATGACGTCATGGCAGTCAATGTGTTAAATTGGGGATTAAATATCGTTGTAAGAAACCAAGATATAGTGGGCCGTTTAATGTCTCTTCAAAAAAATAAAGTTCAATGATTTGATTTTTGATAATTCCTGCCCAAATATAAGTTTCTTGTTTAACTACTACTGTTGGAAATAGTGCAACTGCTTTTCTTTTGGTAGTAATGACAATTTTGTTTAATTGTCTTTTTTTTTCGGGAGACTAAATTTATATCTACGATTTTTCCCCTTATTTTAAAAATTATATTTTTAGTTGTTCAAAATATTCTTGAGATTACAAGCTTTCAAAGAACAAAAGGCGGGTTGGTTATAGCTTAACCAAATGCACTAAAATGTTTTTGCAACATTTTACTAATAATAATTTTTTTCTTAAATTTAGATGGAAATCGATGAGACGCAAAAACTTTTTATAATGCGCCATGGAGAAAGGGTGGATTTTACATTTGGTTCATGGATACCATATTGTTTTGATGAACAAGGAGAGTATTTAAGAAAGGATTTAAACATGCCGATTTCGCTTCCGAAAAGGTCCCAAGGTCCAGCATCTTACATAAAAGATTCTCCGTTAACGAACATTGGTATTTTACAAGCAACACTCGTCGGAGAAGCATTAAAAGATAACAATGTTACAATCGATTACGTTTATTGCTCACCTTCGTTTCGTTGTATTCAAACATGTGATGGAGTTTTGACGGGTTTAGGAAAGCAAAATGATATCAAAATTAAAGTTGAACCTGGTTTGTTTGAGTGGTTAATTTGGTACCCGGATTCTTTACCGAATTGGTTTACATCTGATGAACTAATATCAGCTGGATATAATATTGATAAAGATTACGAACCGATAATTGCGTCGAGTGTTTTAACCGAACGTCAAGAATCATGCGAATTATTTTACAGTCGAAGCAGTTTTGTTACACAAAAGACTTTAGAATGGCACACAACTGGAAATATTTTATTTATTGGTCACGCAGCGACTTTGGACGTTTGTTCGCGTGAATTAATCGGGAAAAAACCGAGAAACGCTACTGATTTTACAAAAATTCTTCAAAAAGTACCTTATTGTAGTTTGATGATGTTGGAACGCAATGAAAATGTGTGGAATATTGTTGAACCTCCATGTCCACCCGTTACTCATTCTAATAACCAGAGGTTCGATTGGAAAGTAATACAATAAAAATAAAATTCAAAAGAAAAGCTCAATGCCCTCCTTCATTCCATTTTTTTCCGCTAAAAAAGCAAAAATAAAGAGAAAAACGTTGTGATTTACCAAAGATATCACGAGTATAAAAGAAAATACACGTTGTTGTTGTATTATAAATTTCAAAACCCGTTGGATTGCGCGTAAACAATACTAATTTTTAAGTAAGAGATAATTATATTTATGTGAAAGCGTTAAAATGTGTAAATAAATTTTATTGAATTAAAAAAAAAATCTTGTTTATATTTTTCGAATTTATTATTTTCGTGCGAACGTGGTTAGTCATTTCCCGTAATTTGTAGAAGCGTGTATGAGTACAGCAATTTTTGTCTACAAACACGAAACAACAATCGATTAGATCAATAATTTAGATTAGATATATAATAAGCTTTTCGGTAGATATATAAACCGGTATAAACGGAGGTGTGACCAGTCGAAATTAAACTGTGAGTTGCAAATAACAAAAAGCAAATCAAAAAATATTTAAATCAAAATGATTTACAACGTTGTTCTGACATTTGTTGATTTTTTCGAAGTATTTCTTCACGATTTTTACGATTATATTTTTGTGCAATGGCGTGAAGCTTTGATTGGTAAGTTTTGCTTATATCCTATTATTAATTCCATCTGATTAATTAATTATTTTCTTTATAGAAGGCCATCACAGACATGTTGAAGTGGCTTATAATGCATCATGGTGATCATTATTATATTATGGTGGATTTTTTTTGAAAACAAAACTTCATCTAAATTAGCGTTTGGTTGAAATGTCAAGATAGTCAAGGGATACTTTCAATGGAGTATAAGAACTGAATAGAGATCAAAAAACTTTTTTAAGGAAAATTGACATTCAACACCACGATGAAGATAAGAGACTTTTAAACGAGTCTTTTAATACATATTTGTTAAAATGTTATTTGTTAAAAATATCAAAATGGAGATAAGTTACAAATATAAAACTTGTTAAATATTATTTGTTTTTGAATACCTTTCAATAATAATTATTTAATTAACAACACTGTTCTGCAATGTTTCCAAAATCTTTAATTAATAAATAGTGAAAACAAAACATGTCTTGATAATTAAATAGTAAACTAAAACTAGTACATTACTAGAACTAACACTAGACCTAGAACTAGAAACTTTCGGGTTGAGCCTTGCGTCTTTTGAAAAAGTGTTTGATATTTCAGATGCGATGTTGCAACCTTCTTTAGAAACAAGTTAGAAGTCACTACTATCCGTCCCAAAAGTCAAGGTCCTTCACTATAGTGATCGATATCTTCGCAACCGAAATTTGAATTTTGTCAATTTGAATATTCGGTTTTTGGAGATTGCGAACTTTTTCCAGTTTGCGATTTTTTTTTCCAAAAAGTATCCAACGAAAAAATTTGAACAGGTGATAGAATGATGTGTTCTGAATGAGGGGCATATTTTATTTTTTCGATACTCGCTATAGTTTTGCGGAAAATCGCGATTTAGTAGGAACGTGGTTTTAACCAAAATAATTACGTTTCTCGAATCCCGTTTTCAGTTTATCAAAATTATGTCTCTACAATAAAAACTGACGTCCTGTCTGGAACACACACCAGCACTATCTTTGCTGATTGGATGGAACACCCCTCATTTAACTTGCGATAAAAATAAAAAGACGCGGAACCGAAAATTTTCAAATTCACGTACTTTACATAGAAATATTCAGTCATTTATTTATTTATTTATTACATTCGGGATGCATACAGGGTTGACCCCCAACTAAGCATCCACAAGATACTCAGCTAAAAATTAATAACAAAAAACTTAAGAGTACAACAAAAAATAATATTCTAAATCAAAAAGAAAAAACAAAATCAAAAGTAACACTCCAACAAAAAAATCAGAACGCATATACAAAATTATTGTTACAATATTATATAAATAAAAATATTCATTAACGGAGTAACAACGATCTCTCCACACCCACGCCCCGCAAGAAACGCTTGAAAACAGCCAAAGACACATTGAAGAATGTCGATTTTCCTACAGCAAGAGTCATGCGCATTCATCAATCTCACAAGAGGAGAGTAAAGATGTGCAGAAGACAAGGATCTACTAATTCTAAACAAATATTCACCACGTGTTTGATATGACGGTACATAAAAACATAATTCTCTTACCAATTCCGAGGAATTGAAAAGATTGTTAACTACTTTAAACAAGAATAATAAATCGTAGCACAGCCTCCTTTGCTTTAATGTCTGGAACCCTAGAGCTCTGCAACGCAAAAGATAATCACCGTAAGGTAAAAATGTTTTGTGAGCTAAATACCTCAAGAACTTCCGCTGTACGGATTCAATGCGGTTAATGTGAATAGTATAATGAGGGTTCCAGACAGTAGAGGCGTAGCTAAGAACACTAACCACTAACGCCATATAAAGAGATTTGATGCATTGAATATTTGTGAACATACGGCAGGTCCTAATCACAAAACCCAACCGCTTTAGAGCCTTGGCAATAGTAAAGTCCACATGTAAATTGAACATCAGCCTGCTGTCCAATAAAACGCCAAGATCATTAATGTGGTCATTCGAGGTTAAAGTTCCGGCCCCCAATGTATACGAATTGTTTAGTGGATAACGTTTACGTGTGAAAGTAATTTTAGAACACTTATCATAGTTCAGGAACAGGCCGTTATCAGCGCAGTAAAGCTGGAACCGGTCTAGATCCTCCTGAAGATTTTCGGAATCACATTTGTTTGTAATGTTAGAAAATATTTTGCAATCATCCGCATACAACAGGAATTTTGCATGTTTAAAGCAAGAAGAAATGTCATTAATATACGCCACAAAGAGGATAGGGCCAAGATGGCTACCCTGCGGAACACCCGATGTGACAGGGTTATATGAGGATGTAACCCCACCAATCCTCACCGCCTGACAACGATCCGTTACGTACGATCCCAACCATGTCAAAAGACCCTCATTACAATAAACTTTACTGCAATTTTTTTCATCAAATGGTTGCGAAGATATAAAGTGATATAATGTTGGTTCGTCCTGTCACTATTTTAATTTGTGACTTATTTTGACTGTTTTTAATATATTGTTTTATTCATTTTTATTGAATGATATGTGTTACTTCCATATTTTCAAACTTAACATTTTCTTCAAATTTTGACATTTTGGCTGATGATGACTTAAAAGTCGAAACCGGTACTAATAAAGATTAAAATACAAGCAAGTAAAAAGTTTTATATAAAATAATTTCCGTTACATAGATTTATAACTGTTTCAAATAATCGCAATATTATTTTAAAACAGCGAAATCTATTTGTTTGAGTTACATATTTGTGTCAAATATAAAACAAGACAGCTAACATCAAAAATCAGAATAAAACATGAAAGATTGAACAATAATGTTGGGAGCTCCTCTGATTTGGCTGACTGGATAAGACTGGAAGTGAAATCCTCAGATTTTTTTTCTAGTTATTCTCGCGTTTTAAGGCTAATGTTTAGGTTGATTATAATCTGGAGAGCTGAAAGCTTTCCCAGTTAGTTCTCAGGCAGCTGAGTGATCGGAGTTCTGTTTAACTTCTATGAAGTTCGAAGATACTTTCCTGGTGATAAAGAAGTTTAGTAATTTGAGAATTTTCTCGCTGTAAGTAGTACAGTTAGGTAGGGTAATGCCCTTCATCGTCCCCACCTTCATCAGCTCCGCCATTCACTCTCCCCTTCAAGCTTTTTCTCTCTCCTTCAATCCAGTACACGCTCTAACTCCATACCTCCCTCCTCCATGAAATATCCCGGAATTTCCTCCGTTATTATGACGTTATACTTATTATTATATCTCCCATTCTCTTCGACCTGAGTCCGCCGTTCCTGCTTTTCCACATCTCTATCTCTACTCTCCAACTCATTCCACAGCGTTGACCCTTCCCTCCTCCTTCCTTGTATTTCCTCTGTTGAGTACTCTACTCTACTTCCCCACCCCAGTCTTAACCTCGCTACAACATTCCCAAAATTGTAAAGTTTTTCAAAATTTTTGTCGACTTAATTTCGATTACTGTTAGTTGATTGTGCTCTCTTTGCAGAAGGCATTCCTCGAAATGGTGATTGATTCTTTCAGTAGTACAATAGATTTGTACTACTATAATCAACCCTTGACTTGATTGTATGGGTGAGTGGTTTAATATATTTTGTAACCCTTTATTTTAAGGTATGATTGACTTATCACATGTGTCTCAGAAATGAGACAGAAATCTATGCACTGAGTAAAACCACAACCTGTTTTTGTGGATTTTATAAATGCTAAGACACACCGGCACACCGCAGAATATTTATCTGAAAAATTAAGCGAGGTGTATGGCCCTGAAAAATTTTTCTGTGTGATAGGGGACAACGCTGCAAATATGCAAACATCTTTTAAACATATTCAAGAAAAATACACTCATATAATTCCTTTAGGATGTCTAGCTCACACTTTTCATTTACTTTGGGGATATACTAAAATGTAACTCTATTCAGGAATTTATGGACAATTTAACTGCAATTGCAAAAAAGATCAAAAGCGTGCATGTTTTGAATGCTTTCAAAAGTATTAAAAGTAGTAATTCATAAAAATTAATAAAGACACGAAACTGAATATTTCGTTAAAATTGCCACGTTGGGGTAGCTCTCTGGCCTGTCTCGGGTCTTTTAAAAAATCAAAAATGTCTCTTCAGCATCTGGCTGTAAAAGAAAAATCATCTGAAGTGCTACCAGCAGATATGAAAAGAAACTTGTTAGATGATCTAACATTTTGGCCTAAAATTGATACGATTATTCGAATACTGAAACCAATTGTGGAATGCTTTCCATTTTGCAGCTGTGTTACTAGATCCATTAAATTAGGGTTCAAAACTTACTCTAGAACAACAAATTGATGCAACGGAGGTCATATATAAAGTATCTGCGGATATCAACGTTGATTCTCTGGATAATGTTATCACGGATTTAGCACATTACCGCTCAAAACACAAATTATGGTCTAAAAACTTCCTCTGGAGTTGTATCCACTCTACATCTCCAGTTTCTTGGTGGAGACGACTATATGGTACAACGTCATTATCAAAAGTTCCAATAAGAATTCTAACTGCTCCAGTTTCGCCAGCCGAAACTGAAAGATCATTTAAAACTTTTTCGTTCAATCATCATAAAAGAAGAAACAGATTGACAACCGAAAGTGCTGGAAAGATTACGTACATATCCCACAATTGGAAAATCAATTTCGAGTCCAA